TCGCGTTTTATTTGAACTTGTATATCCTTCCAGAAAGGATACAATGAGTATCAAGAGTTCAGGAGACTAAAATTTGCCTTCTAATCAATAGTAAAGTCCTCTGAGTAAGAGTAAAGCATTAAACATCTGGTAAATTGTTAACTAAATGGTAACAGGGTAGAATATTTGGTGAGGAGCTGGTGACGACAAATGTCATGAATTTTCATCGATGGTCTCCTCCATTTTGAGTCCCATTGGCTAGAGCCCTGCAAGAACAACATGCACTGAATATAAGAGACCAATCTCATTGAGTACTTGTCTTTGTTAAACAAATTCTAGACAGCATGTGATCATAGAAGAATAAATTACAATTCTAGAAATTAATTTAGGTTTAGAGTTCACTATCACTAGCTATCATGAGCTTTATTGTACCATCCACATTTGAATCACAAAGATATAGATTACTGTGATGGTATAAAATTTTGAAGTGTGTGAGACTACAATGGCGTAGATCGCGCCATTGTCTGTCAGTGGTATAGAATCAATTCAAAATCAGCCAGAGGTGATCAAAATGCAACCTGAAAATTGAATGAGAAAAAGTATAGGATAGTTAAAAAGGCATGATGATAGTAGCCTAAAATCATCACAATATTGGGAAGTCTATCTCGGGTTAGAAAAATGGACACCCTCATGCCAAGGTTAGCCTAGTGGAAAACTAATCAAACAGGGAAAGACAGATAACAAATCCTTATCGACTGAACCACTGTGTTCTCTTGCTCTAAGAGATCAATAAATAAATCAATAGCAGAAACAACTTTCTAGAATTTGGCATATGTTGTAAAGCACACAGTTACAAAGCACAATATCCCCTGTTCTTTTTATATTTGGGGACCATCAGTACAATTTGTTGGAAAGACTACATAGAATAGAAGTTGAGGTTGATTTTCCTATCCTAGAATTCCCTGAGGGATTCATCCATTGTGGCAGTTTAAATTCCATTATAAGCGTATAAGCCTGCAGTCTACTTCAAATTTCAAACATGAATTTCTCTTACACTCACAATTGAACTTCAATGTTTCGAACTTCCAAATTCAAACACATCTTGCCACCTTGAGGATGATGCTTGAGTTATAGACTGGAAGACCCCTAATTTATATAATCTCATTCAGTCAATTGAGTGCTTATGTCATCAATGTTTACTTAGATTCTGAAAATGGCGAAGCTTGTTGGTGAGTTGAGCCATAAAGGACAGCAGGGAACTTAGCTCTGCAGTCTGCATTTTTTCCTATTTCTTCTGGAGATATAGATTAGATGGAACCACAATATGGGAAAGTCACCTAGAACATCTAGAATGAGCAGATGAAGAGATGGAGAAACATCCAGTAAATATCATCTCACAATTAGTAGACAATTGAAAGACTCCCAATAGCATTAACCATAGGAATTTATTTGCAAATCCAATTGCAATTTTCTGCCTCAAACCTCAAAACACGAAGGTGTTAAGTATGTTTTCTTTTTAAAAACCCTTCAACTAAAATACATAGTAAGGTCCAATATCTTAACCAAATTAGCTGTTAAACCTACTAAGTACTAACTCTTTCTGAAGCTTATACCCAACTTGTATACCACAAATCCACTTAAGAAAAGCCAGTGAAAATCCTACAGGTGAAAGTGGAGAAATTTCAAATACCAATAGCTATAACCCAAACACCATGACAAAACACAGAAAGGAAAACATCAAACAATAAATTGAAGATTTATACAACATTACAATGGTAATCCTAAGAAAATCCTAGTTAAGGCAACGGCAAAATTGAACTTAGAAAAGTAATATAACCTGGGCAAAATAGGTGCAGAAAAAGGGAGACGGATTCTGAAAAAGGTAATATATTATGATCTAATAGTTTAAATATAAGTGGAGCACTTGCATGAGAAAGCTCACAAACAAAGGCAATTAGAAGTTCAGACACAAATAGACCTGAAAGTATATTGCCAAAATATCAAGAGTTCAGGAGAAATGAACAAAGGTGTGAAAGTGATTGTGTTTGTGAAAGATCACCGATTGGGTATCTGGAAAAGGCAAAATTACCTCAACAAGCAACTGATCAAACACCTTGGTTTTGCAAATTATTCTGTCCTAAAGATTCCTTGCCCCACATTAAAGTCACCTAATTGGCAAATTCTATGATGATCTCAAACACAGCATCAACATGTTTCTAGTTTCTTCTAAAAAGTCATCAACTAGAAGGTATTAACTCCATCTCCATGAACCTTAACATGATTAGGACACATTTTTTGCCACTAAAGCCATTCAAAAACATATTGGCAGATCAAACTACTGATAGTGATAAACGTTTGACATCCTTAATATTACCAACTCAATGCAAAAGTAAAATAAATCAGTCTTTTTTATTAAACAGAAATATGATATGACAAAGAAACTAACAATTCAAAAGGGAAAGCTGATTAGTTAAAGGTCAATTGAATCCTAGTGAACTCTATAATTAAGCATGGTCCTAATACCTTTACCTCCACAGCACAAAAATTCATAAATAAACATATCCATAGTCAAAGTTACAATTATGAACTATTATTAATCCATTATAATCAACTCTTTCAGAACTAGAATGAAATGCAATTACAAAGCATGAACTTACTCTTCACAACATGAAACGGCATTTGCATTACATATGGAAAACATGTCCACATATATGTTCAATCCAGCAGAAGAAAACAAGTAAAAATGGAAACAAAAGCATGCTGCACTGATAATTGATCAACACCAAGAATGCAAAAGTGGCACACTTCCACGATAATCAATGGGTTTGACTATCAGTCTAGAGCTTCTGCTGAATGGATCTTCAAAGTTCAATGACAAACTCAGAACCTTAGAAATTAGAAACAGTTTCCAGAGTACCAAAAACACATCTGCAAATGAAATACATCGAAAATGCAGCCAAACGAAGCCATAAGAAATCAAAGTAACAAGGCAAATTAGAGACCAACTAAAACATTCTACTGAAATCCCTCCGTTCAGCAAAGCTCACTATCGACAGTTTTCACCGACAAACAACAAATAATTAAGCAATCAATCAATCTCAGTAAAACCCAATTACCTAATCCAGATCAAACCAATCACACACAATCACCTAACAAAAAGGACTCACCTTTTATGGCGTCGGCCACGCTTGGGACCCCATCCTTCAAGCTTGGCAATTGGGCATCCGCACCGAGCCCGGAAGAGCAAAACGGCCCTCCCATTAGGCGGTGCCATCTTTCTCAACTCAGCCCTCAAGCAATCGTAATCAGGGTTCCCCTCGCTGCCTCCCTTCCAGGGCAACTTATCAATCTCCTTGGATCCATTTTTGGCGCAGTCCTCGGTCTGAAGCTGCAAATCGAATTCCAAAGCTTTCTTCAATCCTTTACAGCCAGGTTTATCACATTTTCTAGAGCGACAGCCACAGCAGAGCTCCAAGGAAATAAGGGTAATAGCAAAGAACAGAGTACAACCCAGAATGTAGGAGAGAAGGGGGAGGGAAAGCGAGAGATTGGTGGGGAGCAGTGGGGAGAGGAGGAGGGAGAGGGAGTGGAAGATGTAGGAGAAGTAAGAGGAGAGGAGGAAGGCACCCGAAAAGAGAACAAGGAGGAGGATCAGGAGGTCTAGCGTGGCTGATGGGGAGTGCTTGCAAGGTTGGAGAGAACCGTGGCTATGGTGTTGATTGGCGGACTTAGCGGCGGAGAGGGTGGTGCCGCCACCGGAAGGGGAGATGGGTTTTGAGTCTTTTGACAGTGGCATGGTAGCGGAGGTGATGGTGGTGGTGTGGAGGAGGAGAAGGAGCATGTTAAATGAAGATTGGTATATTTACAGGCGGAGGTGAATGTGTACCATGGGGTTGTTTCTTTGAGCATCAGTGAAGGGAAGGGGATTCATCGGTTATTTTATTTATTTATTATTTTCCCCTTTTTTCTATTAAAGTTACAAAATATTCTTTGCTTTAGAGTTTAGAAGATTGATTTTCAGGATAATTCTTAAAATGTTTTAATTTTTTATGAATTAATTATGACAAATAAATAAAATAATTTAGTAATAATTTGTTTTTACTAAAATAAAACATTTTGATTTAAAAGATAAAAAAAATATCTCTTATTTTATAATTTAAATTAATCTTATTATTTTTATTTTTAATATTTATTTTTAAATAATTTTTATTTTTTAAAAACACTTTAAAATAAACCCATATTGGCTTGAGAAGCTTTAACAAAGTAATTGTTCCTTTTTTTTTTTTCTAATAAGAGTAATAATTAATAGATTAATATTATCAAATATTAACTATTGAAGATTTACCCGTAAATTTAGTGAACAGTCTACCGATCTTAATAAAGTGCTGGCCATGAGTAAGCTTGGAGTTCGGTAATTGTTCGTTCTCTGTATGACACTTTTCACTGAACTCGTATTTGAGTCCTTTCCGTTCTTCCATCCTCCATAATGCAACTCCATTAAAAAAAAAAAAAACCATATTAGCCTAATAAATTTTGATAAATGAACTTATTCCTTCAGGTCAAGTGACTCTACCTACGTTTGTAAGGTTAATAACCCCTTCCCATGGCAACGGTTCGAGCCGACCCCATGATAAAAATATTAAAGAAAATTGATAAATTATTTTCTTTAAGTATTAATCTAAAATCTCAAAACTTAAATATTTCCTTTAAAATAGGTGTGTAATCGTCAACTAAGCACACCGACATCGTTGACTAATAGGTCTCCATCCAAATGGATATGTAATCGTCACAAATGATGTGAACTCCACCAAACATTAGTGCATAAAAGGCGTGGCAGACATAAACTCTTACATCTTATAGGGACTAGATTTGGATAAGCAATGGTAAAATGTTGGTTCGCAAAAAAGGATATTATATATTATATTATAAATCAGAAGAAAATTCTATTTATATATAAAATTTATAAATTACATTTATATAAAAATTTCATTATTTATTTTTTAATTTTTAATAATTAAAATTTATTATGATGGTAAAAAATAATTATTTTTAATAAATATAAATAAATTTATAATAATAATAATAATAATAAGATATATACATATAATATCATATTATTAGATGTGATTATTATAAATTTATAATATCGAGCGATATTATAATTATGGGATTTTTTAATATATATTTTTAGATCACATGTTATGTCTCATTTATTTTAGTATTTATAATTAATTTTATATAAATTTTTATATAAAAATAAAAATATAATAAAATATAATATTTTACTTTAAATTTTATAAAAAGTTATTAATATGATATGAAAATTTGTATAAAATTAATTAAAAATATTTTAATTAATAAATTTTTAAGGAAACAGATTAAAGAAACTCTATAATTATATAATTTTGGTTCGCAAAATTCAACCTCCCATGCAGTATGAGATTTGGTGTGCATTCGCGCACAGGAATATTTCTCACTAATTCAAGAGTTTAATGCAGGATCACTCCATTTATACGTAGTACTATCATGTTTTTCAGGTTTGATTGCGGCCAAGTGGTGGTGACAGGATGACCCCATTTTGAAATGGATAGAATTCAATATATCTTATAGAGAAGATGCATGGATATCAATTTCAACATTCCAGAATGTCAATTTGTGCATCTTCATCTACAGTAGAATGCACCTTGTTTGAACTCACAACATGGGATGGTGATGTACAAGCACTGTTGGAATGGAGATTTTACAAGCATGCACTATGCAGAGTCTATGTTTAGGCCATACAATGAGGGTGCGTTTGGGGAGAAAAACAGGGGAAGAGACACCATTGCACCAACTATTTAGATATTGAAATTGTTACCATTGACATGAAATCTAGAAGAACTCACGGTCAGGGAAAATCAAAGGAGCCACAAGGGTCCAAATATAGAGTGCAGCAGCGACCCACTGGGTGCAGATGCGGACCCAAACTGATGTCCAGCCAACGTCTATGAGGTCTGTGCTTTCAGATGAGCTAGTCCATCCAGTAAGAAGCATCGAAGAGTACATGCTTGCCAAGGCAAAGATCAGGTGGAAGAATGAATAAGAATAACTAACTGGCCGGGCTTCTGCTTCCTTCCCTTCTTCAACATCTTCCTTTTCTTTTCCAAGAAGTGGTTTCTTATTTCCCTCTGCAGAAGAAGCTTTTAGCATCAGTTAGCAATAAGAGTTAGTTAGCAATAAGAGAAACTCCTTTTATGAGCCAACTTAAAGATCCTATCATCAAGAAAATACAAGGCATGCTCCCAATGCAAAGAAGAATTTTTCCTAGTATATCCTAGGAGAATTTGTATATTTGTGAGACTAATTAGTAAAAATGGATTGGAGATTTCAGTAAAATGTTGAGAACTGCATCAGCATTAAGTACCTGCTTTTGGGGAAGATGGTGGAGATAAAAACGTAGTTGATGATCCAGCACGAAGAGCTCAATAGAGAACTGACAGAACTGTTGTGAGCATCCCAAGAATAAGATTGGATTTGTTGTGAAGACCATTGCATGCATAGTCCCGTGGTTCAGTGGAGAGATCTGTGTAGCACACATAAGCACAGTAGACTGATGTCACGGAAGCAGGCAAAAGAGGCTGCCATTCACCTGTTTAAAATTCCCATATCAATCATATGCATAATTAAAACAAAATCTAATCCATCTCCATTTATCTTATGGAACCTATACAGTTCAAAATCTCAAGTTAATCAAAATGCAATTAGCACACTGCACCAAGTCTATACCAACAGGCACAATTAGCTACATTAGGAATATGCCACACCTATATCTATGCATAGTTTGTCCCCAGTCATGCATAATGAAGAAAGTGGTTTGCAAACTAGGACTAGAAAGTTGCACCAAAAACACTTGGCTACATTGAAAATGTGAAAGACAAAGTCCTAAAACAGCAAGTTAAACTAGCAGATGGCAGGAGAAGCGTCAATCTAGTTACATATTGCAGTTCCCATTAACATACTATCTAGAGATTCTGATATTGAATCTTGAATCTCCAATTTTAGATCCATGTCTGCAATCTGCATTTTCAATTCATTTCAAATATTCAGTGTACTTCTAATTCTTTTTAACAGTTACAATCACTTTAATCAGGCTGCCAAAGTATCTCAATGAATGTGAAAAGATGAGCTTGTGCATACCACTGGGTGCAATGCTATAACTGCAAAAGCGAATGCAAGAACCATTGTCATAACAATAAAGAAGACATTGAGGCCACAGTCCTGACCGGAAGGATTGAACCATATGAACAGAACTCCAGAGAACGCATATGCCACAAGGTAGCAAACAACTGATACAACAAGTAAAGCGATATACCTAAAGGCATTAAATATAAAGTTAGGAACCAAACAATAGGAATGAAGGAAAAAGGTCAAAATTGAGACATTGAGCTAACCATTTCTGTTCATCTTTTTCAACCCATGCATCATTCCATGAATGAGTAAAATCTAGTAATATGATCACTTGAACCAATAAAAATAACCCCACCCCAAATTTTGAGAGAGTTCCTGAAAGTGAAGCAAGTTTGCAAAACAATTATAAATTGTAGCATCATCAATGTGGCTAAACACATATACAGTGAAAGTCAAGAAATCATGTAACCATGGCCCTACAAGAAATGGGTAATAGAACTCATGAAATAGAAATAGCTAATCCTGCCTTGCCTGTTCTCTTCCCAAACATATGCATGCTGCACCAGATAATGAATTGTGCTTTGACTAATAATAATATTTTTAGTTCGATACATTTAACCTATAGATATTCAAGAATGGCAGAATCTCAAGGCTATAGACATCAAATTTAATCATATCAACAATGCTATTTAACATCGACATGAAGAATGCTGTCCTTCCATCCCTCGGAAGAATTCTAATTAGATATGTAATGTAACCCATCGACTGATTCCCTAGGACCAAAAAAGAACATCTTTTGTTCCATGAGTGAAACATTTAACTTTCAACAAGTTAAGATACCATCCCTATCCCATTTCCATGATCGTTTCACTTATATACCATCTACACAAAAGATGATGTGTTTTTATCTGGAAATTGATTTTCCAACTACAGGAACAAAAGCTGACCATAAATTGAGACGACAACATTTGGAAGGAAGAACATAAGGACGACAAGCAAAAGCCAGATGACCATCTTTGCAATCCATCCACCATGATGCCATGAATCACGTTGGTCATTTTGGTCCTTAACACCAATCATTATAAGCGCAAGGATTGCAAAAAACAAGAAATATCCCAAGCTTACACGAAGGACTGCTTGTTCTTGGAACCATTCATTTTTGTGAGAAGATGTGTTTATCCCTGACAAGGAATGTACATAACCATAAAAATGTCTTATAAAAAAACCCCTACAAAGGTCACTAAACCAGACTTAGAAGATGATGAAATTCCAAAATTTCAATTAACATATCATTTATTTCATGATTTTGCAACTCCTCAGCAAGTTGGCATAATCAATCTACTCTTTTGTAGTATACTACTTCATTTCATAATAGCGCATAGGAGCGTAATTCAAACTCTCAACAAACATGGAAATATGCCCAAAATTTCAAGTACCATATGCATCAAATTCATGTGACCAGTTCTAAATAGCATTAAAACCCCGTTCTTTATCATCAACAAATATGCAGGGTGATCTATTGCCACCCAGCAAAAAGAATCAAAATTTAATCACACCCAGAATAGGAATTTGCAATTAAAAGAACAAAAACCAAAAAGGCAGGAGAAATAAATGTTACATGGGAGTTTCTCCAGGAGAGGAGCAGCGACTTCTCTAAGAATCCAAGAGACAATAAGAGAGAGGCCGAAGAGGCCATAGTAGGCGAGCCTAGCCGATTTCCTGGAGATCCCAGATGCCACCGAGGAGCACAAACCGCAGGTCGAGGCCGCGCAGCACGACGCCAAGGACGACATGTCTCTGCATTGATCGAGAAGATGGCAGTAGATGGAAGACACAGAAATTAACGAAGAGAGGTGGAATTTGGCATTTTCCGCGAAATTTGAAATCCTGCGCTTAGCTATGTGATTGATTGGGTCGCTGTCCCAGCAGTAAGGTAACAAATCCAAGTTTGCTGGGCCTTAGATGAGATCAGATTTAAATTAATTTGGGCTAGCCTCTATTATGATCCATTAATTCTTTTTATTTTTTATTTTTGGTAATGATCCATTAATTCTTTTAACAAGGCGCATTTTGAGCTTCTCTACTTCTTTTTCCATTTTTTCCTTTTTCTTTTTATTTTACATTAGTTATATAATAATAAAAAATAACTTTCTCTTTACATTATCCTTCTTTATCCATCTAAAAGTTTGATTTGGAGTATTCTAATTTAAAGTTTCAAAATTTTAATCACTTGAGACACATTTTAAAAAGTTTTTATAAACTACCGTGATAATTAACTACTACTTTAATTGACTTGAATTATTTTTTTTTTTTTTGGTGAAATGTGAATTTATTACTAAATCAACACAATACACTAAGCAGCGCTTTATTTTAGGCTGCTACCAATACTTTGTACAAAAAGAATGAAACAATACACTAAAATACTACAATTTCAACAAAATTCACATGCAAAGAACATCCAGCCCCCAATTTGTAGCAACCTCCTCTGACAAGGGAGATGTCTTTTCCTTAGCAAAGCCAAGTACTCTATCCCAAACATCTGCTTGAATTTTATCCACAAGTGCAAATGGAGATGTGAACACTTGCCTATGAATTCTGTTATTACGCTCAGTCCAAATGTAATAGATTGATGCACACCATGCCAGCTTGAGAAGTGTGTTGTACAAAGCTTTACGCTTGGTCTTTCTACAGAACCAAGTT